AAACGCAGCAATCACCAGTCATTTTGGATTTGTGTTTCAGCGAAACACTCGGTCAGGGAAATCACCTGATTATCGCGACACCATACTTTTCGAAAAACTCCGTTTTCAACACGTTTTCTTTCCACACGAAAACGAAAAGCCGGTGTTTTCAAATTCCTCAGGTTTGAAGAGCGTTTTCGAAAAGCTTCGTTTTGGTGACGGATTAGTGTGGACGGGAGGCCTAACAGTAGAACTAGCTGCGTTTTCAAATTCCTCCGGCTTAGGTGTGGACGGGGCCCTTTGCATGACCGTGTCACTTGACCTTGTCAAACACTGATAAAAATGGTTGTGGTACGAAATAAATACCAGAAGTGGAAAGGGCGCGATGAACCTTTTTCGGTTTCCAATTTTGAGGCCACTGACGCTAAAGTTTGAGATGTTACGGCTATTTAGAGGCTTTAAAAAATTAACAAAACTTGTAAAGAAAAACGCTGGTGGACGCGGGACGACAAGTTTTGCAATCCAGCATCATACTGTCTTAAAATCTCGCACCAAAACGTCAGTGGCATCAAAATTAGAAATCCTACTAAACATTTCAACACTCTCTTCGTACGACGACCATTTTCTATGATTGACAAAGTCACGTGACACGGTCATGCAAAGGGCCTAGACTCACTAAATGTAGGGCGTAGTAGAGCAACGCAGGAAATAACAAAAAGTAATCTTCCCTACCTCCTATCTCCTTGCCCTAGAAAACGTTAATTTACCTCGGCTACGGCGAAACAAAATTAGAGACCAGCTGGGCATTGTACCAGCTTCGGATGAATCGAGTGATTTTATAAATGCATGCAGATGAAAGTTTGCGCCGCCTTTTCCGTTGACTGGCCAAGATTATCTCTTGGCTGAAGCCTATAAATAATTCCTAACAATCAAAATAAATCGAAATGTGGATTTTTTTTTTGTTCTTTTCCAGTCTCCCTTATTTTGAGAAATAATTTTTTAAAACCAGCTGGGCGATGTCTAATTCGTTTCTAGGAGTTTTTCGACGTTTTAAACTTCTAGAGAAATCCACATTTATCCTAAGGCTTCGCGGGATCGTGCTTGGAAGAACTTATTTTGGCGGTGAACGGTTTTCCTTTACAATTCTGGGAACGTACCGCTAAATATATAATGAATGTATGCGGTGATAGGTTGCTACAATTTGACGTTCTTTTACCTTCAGCCGTGAAGTGTATTGCCCCATATACCTTAAAATTTCTAAAAGTCCTCTGGTATATTTATATTTTCCCAATAGTTTGGTAAATAGTCCTTTTAGCTTAAAATTTAAATGTTTGGATTATTGTTCAGGCCGTATCAAATTATTTAAACTGTTTACTCTCTGGAGCGTTCTAGCTCTTTGTCAGCTAATAACAGCAAAAAAGAACACTGTTGTTATGCTAATTCCCGGCTAATTCTAAAGACATCAACAGCGAATCTCGTTTAGATCACATCAGAAGGAAAACCTTTGTTTTTGTTGTTTTGTTATGCACGAAAGTTTCGCTTTTCGGCGCGTTGTAGCGGCATTTGATTCCAGAACAAAATCATGAAAAACTTGGGTGTTAGCACCCACGTAAGCGACCAAGATTATCTTCCCGACGATGAAAGTTCGAGTGACGATTGCAGTGGGGCAACCGTAGCGAAAGATAACGAACTAAAAACTGGTAAATCGAAATCATCGGGCCGAGATCCGGATAATGAGTTTGTGTTTGACAAAGAGTGGGCGTTCAGGAGAAAGTGCTCCTTACAGTCATTACTCTCCGCAAGGCTTCTGACTTCGTCTTACGAACCGAAGATATGTAAGAAATTGGAGGTAGTTCGTCATCTTACTGGCCATCGGCGCGGTGAGTGGTGCACAAAGGAGACCCCTGCATCCTGTGACGCAGAGAAACCTTGCAACAGACCTGTTTGTTTCAGCCAAAGCATGAAAAAACAAAACGACACATCGGAATGTAAATCACATGCTAACGGATCTTTGAAATCACGGCACAGGTCAAATACTGTAGTATAAAATTCCTTAAAATGCCAGCGGTGAAACCTTAAGCAGTTTAGTCTCCGTCTTCACGAAAGTAAGCGAGGGAAATCTTTGGAACAAGAGATAGCAGCAATTTGGTTAAGTTTTCCCCCATGTTGGCTCTCATATGTAAAAACTTCAGTGCTAGCAGAGACGGACACGGAATGAAACAAAAGCATATCCGGATGCTGGTAATGTTCCAGAACGGAGGAGAATAATGGCAGCTAGAGATCTCCGGATACCGAAGAGCACACGAGTATATGACTCTTGCATTTTTGGCGGACAGCAAGCACCCTCAGAGCGCTTATATCAAACGAAGCTCTTTATGGAAATTTCATCTCGATCGAAAGGCGGGGAATAAAGCTGAAGCCGGCTATCAGAACGGATGGTAGTTGAATTATTTATAATAATTGAATTATGACATCAAGAGTCCTCTTGACAAACTCGAGTACCTGGTTAACACGAGTAAACCGAAATATATTCAGTCATAAACTGGATTGTTCGTACACACACAAAAAAGAAACTTCAGGAAATAATCAACGATGAAGCTATCCTTTTCGTTGCTTGTTACTGGGTAACTGGCAGAACGTGATCGCCGCAGGTTACCCCAGAAACGGTACGCTTCTGGTGGAATTTTTTAGGTCTGGCAAAATTTCCGTTTAGTTGCTTCGATTTTCATTTGCGAGTTTCTTAATTAATACGTACGTGACTTTTCACAAAGTAAACAACACAATTTCATGAGTCCCAACGGTCCAAACATAATCCAGCTGTGGCTGTTGATTGTCTCCTTTGCAGGCGTTGTCGGGCAACGCGTCGCCCTCAAGAGGAGCGTTGTGTGATTACCTTCACGCAACGCGGGTTCCGTGACTTAAATCCCCGTTGTGAATACTCTTTGAGAGTCTAGATCAGCTAGCGAAAAAAATTGACCTCAGTGATGTAAAAAGCTGACAGAACAAAGAGATTGAACAGTTACTTGACAACCATCTTAATAAAAAACGTTCTCCCAGTCACAGTTACTTGCCTTTAAGTGTGACGGAAATATTTCATTCCCATTATTTCTTGTTTATTGTTAGTTTTTTGAATTCATTCTGCATGCATCGTACAATTTTTGTGAGATATCCTGTGGCAGTCTGTCCACAGACCCTCTATTGTGTCTTGAGTTCATCGTGATCACACGCAAAATATTAACCACAGGAGGCAAGAACAAGCCAAAAGGCAAGGGGTGTGGCTGTGGAAACACTAACACACAATATTTTTTTTTCCCATTTGGCATTCTCTTTCACTCCTTGTCTGCGAAAAAAAATAGAAAATAAAAAATAAAAAATGTCTGTGGACAGACTATCCTGTCATGACAATTTGATCATGTTTTGTTGTTTACAAAATAAAAATTATTTATATTTTTTTGTTCAATTCTTTACATGATTTTTTTCCTGGGGTCTACCCAAGCTCAACAAGGTGGAATGTTTCAAGGGCAAACCAATATTTATGAATTTTGAGTATTGGAATCTTAGTTATAAAGCAAAGGAACTAGGTTTACATTACTTTCCCTTTCAGAAATCCCCATTAATCCCTAGTTGTAACAGTCTCAGAGATTCTTTTCACCCTATCTTTTGACCTGTTAACATAGTCTTCAAATTAATTCTACCCAGGTAAATATTTGAATTTTCCTGTAATATCCCTGTATTGCATTTTACAAATGAAAAGCTGGTTCAGGAAAAAAATCACCAGGCTCCAAGATAGAGTGGTAAATTAATTAAAATTAAACTTTTATTTTACCCTCGGCAATGCTTATAGCACAAGTGCTAGTGGGCCAAGCAAACAACTGAAACAAAATAATTCAAATTCAACATAACATTGTTAAGAATCCCAACTGGCAAACCAGTTGGCTATTTATAAGCGTGGCCAAAGATTTGAACTCAGGGCTACCGAGAAACAAATCCAAGTAGTAAATGAACCCCTCAAGCACTTTGTTGCGGTATGATAGGCTCTTGTATAATGAAAAGATGAATGGCTGTCAAAAATAGTTATGAAAAAAACCCTCACTTAATAATGCTGGGCTTGAGCAACTTACAAGAGTCTAATGAAATTAGTAAGAATATATGGTATTCTTAGACATGTTGCTTAGGTCAGCACCAGGGTTGATTTCAGGGGGAAGCTAGTGATTATTACATTTAACTGTGAAAAGGCCTTAAAAAACTGCAAAACCAATCCCAGCATCTTTCTTCATCCCACACACAGTGGTAAGAAAGGAGTAAGCTTATATATAGCTTTATACAAAGATACTTGGAGTGATTGGGCAGGTTTATTTTCTCACTCTCTCTCTGGCTAAGATAATTTCTGGCATTGGTCAATGTATTAGGTTGAATATCCCTCTGTCCTCTGTACAAATTAGCCAGTTCATTCCAACCTGCAATCAGGTCCCGGAATCGGGTTAACCTGCCTTGTCTCGTTTATAACTGCTTACACTGAGACTGTCTCTATTAGTCTCAGTTTATGATACCTTCGACAATCATTTACTCGCCATATCCATGTCCCAAACATCTCCCAGATCTTCCGCCGGTCCCTTGTAGTTCCGTTCAGTAAAAAATTACCTTTGTACACACAATTTCGGCTACTGCATAAGCCTGGGATCGTCTGGTGAGATCTTTACTATGGTCACATTGGCAAACACAGAACTATAACTGTCGTTGGAATCAATGAAGCTGTTTTGCTACTTGCTAAGAATGGAATGTCGTTGTTCCGTCGCTAGGTACAGTCTCAGGCTTGTATCCTATTCGCTCGTGAATTTTCGAAATCCTCTTTGGATCATTCAACGCCAGAAGAGAATCATCAAGCAAGCTCTGAGCTTTAACATCCTCATCGTCTTTCTTTGTATCCTTCGTCCACATCTTTTTTGCTTTCTCGTATTCTTCTACGTCCTCTCCTTTCAGTTCTATCCGAGTGGGCTTTCTTCGTAGCATAATTTTAAGGAAAATGTCAGATTTACGAGGTGCCTGATTAAAGACGAAGACCTGTCAAAATGGCGCCAAATGTCTTCTGAGAGCCCACGGTTTCAAATCTCAGCAGCATTTCCTGTAAGAAAAATTCAAAATGGCCGCCTTCGAGGAGCAAAAAGCGTCTTGTCTTTCGCAGGTGGATCTTAGTAAGAAAGGAAGCATTGATGACCAAATCGTGGACTTAGTACAATACATTAATGCTAAAGATGATTATTTTACCACAAGCTCCTGCTCTGGAAGGATTTCAGTTTTCTCCGAGGTTAGCTATGAGGGGATAGAATATACCAGTATGTATGTATTTTGTTTTGGGTGATGCATCTCAGAGACTCAGATTTAACTGAAAAATTACAATTTATCAGCTTGCAGATCAGAAAAAGAAGCATTGCGAGTGGCTTTATGTTACCCACAGTACAGCAACAGAAGAAGAAGTTGTAAGTATATACATAGCCCTGGAACATAACCTGCATACCACGTGTGTCACATATTTGGTGATCAGTTGAAGCGATCAGTATGCAATGGAGCCCCAATCGATGGAAATCGATGATTGGAAAAGCAATCGATCAATCGATATCAATCCATAAAATTAGTTAATTGGCATCCACTGGTATCGGTCAATAGATGATCAATCAATGGTCACGTCACACAAAAGCCGTTCATCAATTAGCAAAATATGTCACACCCAGACTTCTCAACACAAAGCATATGCCATGTTGCACATGCTCATACCACTGTTAGTAACTGTTCTTCTTGAGTGTTCTTGTAAATGTTGACCAAATTAAAAAAATGTTGGTGAGCGATTCACTTAGCATACAAGAAAAAGAGACAGTGTGGAAATTCATTTAAAGTTACTAATAGACCATTTTACAGTTGTCTGCTCAGTGACCTGACCTTTGTATGGCAGCGAGGCTAGAGTTGACCTTGTTTTGATTCAGACCTCACTGCTTTTGTTATGTAAATGCACCTAGTTAGCATCAGAACAACTTGTTTTACACAACAAAAGCACTGAGGTCTGTATCAAAACAAGGTCAACTCTAGCCTTGCTGCCATACAAAGGCCAGGTCACTGAGCAGACAACTGTAAAATGGTCTATTGATTGGTATAATTTGGTATCGATAGTCATCAATGGTTTATTTCATCAATTGGACACCCCAAGAGATGAGGTGCAGTCTCCTTCCTGTCACCCCTTATGTGTGTTTTGCACTTGTTCGAAGCTTGCTTGCACTTTGTACCCAGCTCATCACACCCACACAACTGTAAAAGCCTGAGGAGGAGTAATATTTACAAATAAAATCCAGAGACACTTTAAATAAGTATTATGCAGTTCTAAGTTACTCTCAGTTAGTTAGGTTATGCTGTAGTTAGTCCTTAGTTAGGATCTCTTTCAACTGGGGTCTGATATATCTATCTTGAGATTAACACAAGAAATAAAAATTTAATGAGTCTATTTGTGATAATTGACATCTGTTTACTGATAGTCAGACTATAATTTACATGAACTTGTAGGCTCTTACTTGGTGTAGAAGACGCAGTGGTGTAAAACAATGGAGAGCAAAAGGAAAAAAAGAATGTGGAAAACAATGAAAACAATAGGTTTGTGGGGCAGTGTTCTATCGTTGCATGTTCTGTCTCTTGTACGACAAGAAGGAGCCAACATGGAGTTCATATGTGAATTATTTCATATAAACTTCACATGGACCAGACTACTGTAAATTTCCAGAAGTAATGACCCTTCCCATGACTTTTGGAATAAGCAGGTTTTGGGGCTTGCTACTTTTGAAGGGTCCTAACCTTCTGGAGCACATTACTTTTGGGGAGCCAAAAGTTTTGTTTAAAGCTGGCACAATTAAGCTCTTTTCATTAAATAAAAGAAAGAAATGTGTAAATTAAAACAGTTCCGAAAATGTGTCAGTACTTTTGAAGGATTGTTGCTTTCAGGATTCATTAGCAGGCATAATTTTTTAACATTACTTAGGGGGGTTGCTAGTTTTGGAGGCTGTTACTTTTGAAATTTTACCATAGTATATCTCTTAGAGTTACTGAAGTTCAAATCAACCTGCTTTTTTATTCACTGCTAGGTTAAATCCTTGAAAGGCTGTCTTGGAAGTGCTGTGTTCAAGTTTGAACCATTTGTTTTGCATGTTCAGTGCAAAGACCTTGTCGCTGGACAACAAATGGTAAGAAATATTAGTAATGTTATGTACATTTATCATAAACTGATTGTGTCGTAATTTAAATCATAGCAGAACTGAAAATTTAAATAAGATTAATATAAAAAGAATCAAAATTCTTTCTTATTTTCTTTTGTAGCTTAAAGTGGCCCTCACATCTGGTTTCAAAAATTCTGGAATTGTCATTGGCAAGAAGGCCAATGTGATAGTGGTGCGTAACTACAGTTCATAACTGTGTGCTAATCTAACAAGATTGAAAGTTAAAAACAAGATATGGATCAAACTGTCAGTTAAGATCCTAGAGACCTATTAAGTTTCTTTATTCTTCCAGCTCTGATGGATATCCTTACATAGTAATACTACAATGGGACTCTTACTCCTCCATTGTGTGGTGTACCACCATCAGAACACCAAAACTGATCATATTTTAAACAGGATTGTTGAATAAAAGAGGTTTTATAATTAAAGGAAATGACTGACCTAAGTTTTGTTTGGGCTTAAAAAGATAGATAAGTGTTAGTAATAAAAAAGGGGCCACACTAATTTACAAGGTGGTCACTGACAGGAGATTGACTAACATCCAACTTTACGTCAGCCAAATGCAAAATGAGCAAATTTGCTCATATGCATCAGGTTGAACTTTTGTGATGGTCCAAGGATTCTTCTACATCCTCCTGCCAGCTATAAGGGAAAATTCTGTTAAAATCTTGGATTTTTCTGTAGGTATTTCTGACTGAAGTGAGTGCTCAATGACAAAATCTTTTGATTTGAATTGATGAATAATATTTTTGCATAGTTTGTGAAGAGTATTATTTTTCTCTGTTTATTTCAGGCAGTAAGAAGTACGCAAAGTTTGGAAGTGCCACTTGCTCATAAGGGAGAACTTATGGTCTCTTACAAGGTAATCAAAGTGGAATTTTTTTGCAGCAAAATCTCCTATTTTATTTGTTACCTTCTTATAGCTGAAGTAGGTAAGCAGGGTGAAC